TTGAAGATGCTAACATGAAAGCAGTTGAAAATGAAATTTTTGATGGTTATGAATATAATGCAATTTATAATAATGATGGTTCGTTAGAATTTAACAATGAGATTAGTTCAGATGAGTCATCTGATAAGGGCGATGATTATGAATGTAATGCAAGTTGTAAAAATGATATTTCATTTGAGTTTGACGATGTAAATATTTCAGATGAGTCATCTGATAAGGAGGATGACATAGGCATGACATCAAAATGCTTTGACATAAATCAAAAGCTTTTAAATTTTTATTCAAGGTATAATCTGACTAGAAATGCTATGGAAGCTCTTTTAAAGTTATTAAACATACATTATGATAAAAGTTTACCACTATCTGTTATTACACTAAAAGCTAAGTCAGGAACCTACAACCAGTCTAAAAATTGGGTTAAAAGAATTGAAGGAAAAAGTTCAATGTCATATATTGGTGTGAAAGACAATTTATTGTATTGTATGGACCATCGTAATTTAGAGTTAAATTTAAAAAATAAAGATGGCAACAGTGGCATAGTAAAGTTACGGCTATTTTTTAATCTAGATGGTTTGCCTGTTTTTAAATCTTCTAAAACTACTTTTTGGCCAATCCTAATGTCATTTAGAGATTACAATCATCTTGGTGTACTTTCTGTTGCTTTGCACTGCGGTGTTGAAAAGCCAAATTTGAACGTTTATCTTAAACAGCTGGTTGATGAGTTGCAAACTTTGAGTGTTCCTTTTGATTTGAAAGGACTACAAACGGTTATTTCTGATGTTGACTTTATTTGCGATACACCTGCACGTTCATTTGCTCTTAATATTTTCAATCACAATGCATACTACGGATGTGGGTACTGTAATATCAAAGGTGAGTACTGTTACAATCGTATTATTTTTACAGATCAGCATTGTACACCCCGTTCTGATGAAAGTTACAAAAATATATCAGAAAATAATCAGCATGGCCCTTCACCTCTTTTGGATATTCCTCAATTAAGTGGACTGCAATCGTCATGTCCTCCAGAATATATGCATCTGGTACTCCAAGGTGTGGTGAAAAAGTTATGTACATATTATTTTACTAAAGTGCCTTTCCTAAATTTATCTTGTAGACTTTCAGAACATTTACTCATAAAATTATCCGCTGAAATTGATGATATAAGAAAGTATTTACCATCAGAATTCCACAGAAAGCTTAGTTCTTTGGTTAATTTTAAAAACTGGAAAGCCTCTGAATTTCGACAGTTTGTTTTATATCTTGGACCATTTCTCTTACATGATAAATTGCCAAATCGGTATTATGACCATTTTATTACATTGCACTTCAGCTTGTATGTTTTGGCTTCTGATGAATTTTTTGCTTATCATGGTATCGCATCTGAATGTGTTAAAAAGTTTGTTGAGTTTATGCCTATATTATTTAGCAAGAGATCTATGGTTTATAATGTGCATGTGTTACTTCATCTAGCTTCATTTGTAGCAAAATATGGACCTTTGGACTTATTTTCTGCATTTCAATTTGAAAATATGTTGGGTTTATTGAAAAGACGAATTAAAACAGGTAGAAATATTTTTCAACATGCAGTTGTTTGCTTAAATGATCTTCTATCAGTAACTACTAATCAATTGAAGTCTGTAAAGATTTCTAATGATTCGCCAGATTGTGCTTTTGTTATTGCTGATGGTTCCATTGTTTTATGCACAAGTACAAGTCTCCATAGTTTACATATATCTGGAATTCTTTTATCTTATGTGAAGCCACTGTATACATTTCCATACTCATCAAAAGTCCTTAGAATTGGATATTATCAGAAAAGTCGCACACATTTATAATGTTATACCCGTTCGAAAATGTATTATGATTTTTTGTAGGGAAAACTACTTTTTAATTATCCCATTGGTCTGTAAATTAAACTAATGTTTAAAGATATTTACAGGACTTGATTAGTTTTTTTAAATTTTGTAAACATTTTTGTGTTGATTTAAAAATATATCCATTCGTATGAAGTCTTTATACTATTTTAACTTCAATATCTGCATATTTTCTAAATAATAAATGTATAAATTTTATGTTGCATTATACGAATATTTTGTTTCAGATGAATTATATTGTTTATCTGTACTGTGACAGTGAAGTTCTAGAATTAAAAAATTGTGACATAATAATGCCAGAGAAGCTAAAAAATTGGTCTATGGATGATTGGAGATCTCCTGGTCAAACATTAACGGAGGACAATCTTCAAATAAAGGCAATACATAAGGATTGTGTAAATGCGGCATGCATATTACAGATAAGTATTTTATACACCTGTTGGAATTGAAAAATAAGGAGTGTTTCAGTAGTAACATTTTTTTAAAGTAAATTAATCTACAAAATTGTATTTTATTTTATTTTATACGTTTCAGTTGGAATTGATACAAAATCGCTTGTTCAAAAAATGCAAAACTTTGTATTGAAAAAAAAATTTACCCCTAAAAATGGACTCCTCAAACTTTTTAATCGTGTGGGTCAAAACAAAAGGCAGAGCATTCCACCTTTAAATGCGAGTATTTTTAAACTAACTCAATAAATTATTTTTATTGTAATCAATGCACAAAGCATTGCATAAAATGTGTTGAGTATTTAACTTAGGTAAAGTTGAGTCGATTATGAGCTGTATTTATTATGATTTCTTTTGTCCTTTTTTAGTAACAGATTTTTGTATATGTCAAGGATTAACCTTTTTTGGATATTTCCAGAATTCTGGAAATTTTTTGTAATTTTTTTTTGCTGGATATTTAAAACATATTCTATACTTAAAAGTTTAAATACATCTATTTGTTTTATAAGCTTTTTCACTCATCACTCATAAAAAAATAAAGAAAAGTTTGAAAAAAAAAATAGAAAAAACTCAGCTATAAGCAAAAATAAGAGGAAAATAAGAGAAAATATTTTCCGGGTATTTTACCCAAACAAATTTCCGTTTTTTTAAAATATTGCCTGGACGATCTATGATATGTATATTGTATAAAGCTATGATTGTATATATATTAAAAAAGTTATTTTCTTTAGCATATTCTTACTGCAGAATCAGAAGTAGAAATTGATTTTAATACATCAAAAAAAAAACACAAGAAAACTCCTTTAAGTCAACAAAACAGAAAGAGAAAAAAAAAATTATCTTTGAAGAACCTCCTTTACCATCATTACCATTGTGGGAGCCACCAAAGCTTCCTGATTCCGATTCAGTATACATTTTAAAATTTTGTCCCATTCGTAATAATAATGTTTTTTTTTGTTTCATTTTTATGGTTTATTTGCTTTTTTTAGATACCATTTTTTAATTAAAAAAAAAGAAAAGTATAATATAATCAGAATATTGTGAATGTATTTATAATCATTGTTAATCTTGTTAAAACTTTTTGTCCGTCTCTGCCTCAATGGATCAAGTAGATGACTTGCCAGTTACACAGATAGTGTTTCCATCAGAAATGCAGTCTGTTTCACAAGTTCAACCGTTACTGCATTCATCTTCTTCCTTTTTTTTACCATCTCAAAAAACTGGGATAGACCAAATAAATAACTTTATTCGGAAAGCAAATGTTGAACTCAATACTGTTGAAGGCATTCAATTTATAGTGAACTCCATGTACAGAAAACTTTGTGGGTTGGAAACAGAAATGCGTTCAATTTTAGACACTAATCATGGTAATAAAGAAAATATTAATATAGATTATTTACCAGCTAATTCAGTTGAAGAGTTTGACTCACTAGAAAATAAAATAATTAACTCTAATGATAAAGATATCATTTGCAGAAAGTTAAAGCAAATTGGTGGGAGAAATGTAAGTGACTTTTTAAAAATTCTTTAAAAACTTGTTTAACAGACAAGCTGTGCTGCAGCATTAATCGAACTGGTGCAGATAAAAAGCGTAAGTTTATAGGACCAGTCGAAAGTTTGATTTTTGATGCAGCTTACTGTTTATTTCCAACTGCCACTGAATCCAGTATGACTACAATAATTGCGAAACACTTGAAAAAGTCTAAAGATCGTTTTTTTGCTGCAAGAAAGAGAAGTTCTTCTTTAACAAGTGATATACAAATACACAGTCCTGTTAGAAAAAAAAGAAATTTAAACACTGACTCATGTAGTGATTCCAGTTAACTTATTTTTTTTGTTTATTTGTTCTATAATTTTTTATTGACTTTCCTTTTTTTAGATATTTTATTTGTTACAATTTTTTTAGTAATTATTTTCGAAAATTGATAAAGATTTAAAAAAAACTAAAATTTGACAGAAATTTTGTTCTATTATCTTTTTAAATATCTTTTGAAATTATTAATTTAATTTAGGCAAAATCATTTAGTTGTTAATGACTTTTTATTTATCAAAAGTAATCTATAACTTTTCTTTTAACATTTTATAATGGCTTTAACATTTATAACTTTTTATGGAAACAAGTATTAACATTTTGTATTTAATTTGTTATAAATGCAATCTTATTTTAATGGTTATAATTCACTCCCCTGAAAAATATAGCACGCGATTCTTTGAGCATATCTTCTAACCTAGCCGAGATTTTCTAGCCAAATCGATGTCATTGTCGTAACAACTTAATGCTAGCTATTCGCTAGCTTATTTAGCTAGCAATCCTCGTGGCCATACCGCTGTCTTTATCGTAACGACTTGTCGCTAACTTGTTTAGCTAACGGATCGCTAGCTTATAATGCTAGCGATCCTCGTGGCCAAATCGCTGTCTTTATCGTAACGACTTAGTGCTAGCTATTCGCTAGCTTATTTAGCTAGCGATCCTCGTGGCCATATCGCTGTCTTTATCGTAACGAAAATCGCTAGCTATTCGCTAGCTTGTTTAGCTAGCGGATCGCTAGCCTATAAAGCTAAAGATCCTCGTAGCCAAATCGCTGTCTTAATCGTAACGAATATCGCTAGCTATTCGCTAGCTTGTTTAGCTAGCGGATCGCTAGCCTATAAAGCTAACAATCCTCGTGGCCAAATCGCTGTCTTAATCGTAACGAATATCGCTACCTATTCGCTAGCTTGTTTAGCTAGCGGATCGCTAGCTTATAAAGCTAACGATCCTCGTGGCCAAATCGCTGTCTTAATTGTAACGAATATCGCTAGCTATTCGCTAGTTTGTTTAGCTAGCGGATCGCTAGCTTATAAAGCTAACGATCCTCGTGGCCAAATCGCTGTCTTAATCGTAACGAATATCGCTAGCTATTTGCTAGCCAATTTCCCACCGGGTAGTTTTTTTCAAATCTTTTTTCTTATTATCAAACTGGATTAATAATGTCTTATAAATTATTTGTATTTTATCTCTCTTATTTGTATTTTATCTCTCTTATTTGTATTTTATCTCTCTTTTTTTAAACTTGTTTTAAGCAACTTCATATAGATTTTTTTTACACTTTCTGATCTTGGTAACCGACAGTATTTTAGAAGACCATTTGAATCTTTTGGTTTAATATTATGATAAAATATAAAACAAAAGCACAATACAATTGAAGTGTTTTTTGTATACTTTCTGATCTTAGTAAATGATAGTATTTGAGAAGACCATTTGAATCTTTTGATTTAAAAGTATTATAAAGCATGAAGCAGAAGCACACTACAATTTAAGCGTTTTAAAAATCTGGCCAGAAAAAGTATAAATATTAAGATGTAGAACATTTGTTGTTACTTTATAAACTAAGAAGCTACCATTTTTTATTTTTTTTCCTACATAAAAATAAGTGTGCGGACAGCGTCAAATCAATTTGGCTAATTAACCTACAGTCATAATAACAGATTATGTTTTTTATGTAATGTATTTTATAATGTATTTTATGTAATAAAGTAATTTTAATAAATGTATTTTATGACTATGATTAACCTAGCTTTTCCATCAAAAATTTCAGCATAAAAAAAAAAAAAGAAGACGCGTAAAAAAAGAAAATCATAAAATAAACGTAATTTTATTTATCATCTTGCAAAAGTAAGCATATTTAAATAGACAATTTATCACAAGAAACATTAACAAAAGTTACCCAGTTTAAAAAATAAAAAACAAAACAAAAAATTTTTAACTAAAAAATAGTACACGTTAAACTTTGTTTTATATTACCGCCACTTTTGACATTATAAATTTAATTTGTTTGTTTTGTTATAATGATTATATAACAAAATGTTTTTTTTATTTTATCAAAAAAACATTATTACAAACATTAAACAATATTTTATAAAGAGTTTGTTTTTTTATAAACAGAAAAAACAACATCATTTATTTACTTATATTATATGGTTTATTATTAATTTTTTGCTTGAATTTACGCTTGTAGCAATGTAGCTCGTGCAATTTTTTCGTTTATATTTATAAGTTTTATTCTGGGAAAAATAATAGTTTAGAAAAATAATCTTTTATTGTTACCAAGGGCGGATCTAGGATTTATTTCTCCTTTGGCGAAGATTTTTTGTGTAAATTTCAAACCCTTACATCCCCAAACCAGTCTCACAACCCTATCCCCTTTCATGCACAACTTCTGTCAGGTGCCAAAGAAACACCTCCTACCACTTCATCAATTGTGAATTTTTTCTCATCTACCTGTGTTCATATTTTCAAAAAAATTTTCACTTCACCTTATTTTTACGACCACCCTCCCAAATTTTTTAAAATTATGTATGCTAAAAATCTTTACTAAATTCGGGTCATTATTTTTTCTATAAAAAATAACCATAAATTTAAATTGAATTGAAACTATACCTATAATTCATTTTTGATATCGGAACGCTAATAGTACAGTCAAATTTCTATTTATTGAGTATAAACTCAATTCAGAATATAAGCTGATGCTCCACCTCCACAGTATAAAGGTTGAAAGATTATCTGTCTGGAAGGTATTTGTTTAAAGCACATGAACCACGTCAAGGTTCCTTCCTATTCATGTGTACAATTTTTTATCTTGAACGATTTTTTTTTTTTAATTTTTGCTTTGCCATATTAGTATATATACATACAATCAACGTTTCAGTATAAATACAGATGGCCAGGGCAAGAAGAAGACACAATTTGTCTTATCACCAAGCCCTGAGAATTGACTCCGTAAAATAAAAATTATTACATACAGCATGTATAATTATAACCAGTATATAAGAAGTAAGATTTCCTCGTAATAAATATATAAAAATAGTAGAAATATATAAAAAGAGTATTAAATACATAAAAAATAAAATTTTGCAACATATAACTTGTGAAAAAATTTATACTATTCTTTTGAAAAAATCAAATTACAAATTAAGATAAATAAAATGTTGGTTTAACTCTTTTAAGATAAATAAAAAGATGTTAGTTAATTAAGATGAAATACTCATTAATATTATTAATCAAGTAAAGTCGATAAGTAAAGTCGATAAGGACCTGAATCTCTCCATAATATATATATATATATATATATATATATATATATATATATATATATATATATATATATATATATATATATATATATATATATATATATATATATATATATATATATACATATATATATATATATATATATATATATATATATATATATATATATATATATATATATATATATATATATATATATATATATATATATATATGTATATATATATATATATATATATGTATATATATATATATATATATATATATATATATATATATATATATATATATATATATATATATATATATATATATATATATATATATATATATATATATATATAGGTTATGATTCGCCCAAAAAGACAATAAGTTGGAAAGATAAACTTTAAAATAAATTGAAAAAGCTTATCTGTACTACCCGATAACTTTAGAAGTATTGCACTCCGTCACTAACCGGAAGCATTTGTTTCAATTTTGCTTTGAATTTGTTAAGAGTTTCATGAGTTTTAAGTTTATTAAATATAAATTTATTCCATACTTTTGACCCTCTAATAGATATTAAAAACTCAGTTGCTGTCAAAAAACTTTTAGGCTGAACAAATGTGTTGTTTGAGTATCTGGTTAAATATTTATTCTTATTTATTATGAACAACGAATTAAAAATGTTAAGTGTTATTTTTGAATTAACTTTGAACATAAAAATTACAAGATGA